TGCGTGGGAAGCTGCAGGGGGTGCCGGCCCCTGGGGGGCAGGCATAGCGGAGGGGGCCGACCTTGCGGACCAGGCAAGGCGTTTGAGTTGTATTGGGGCCCGTGGAAAACTTCTGGCCACCGGACCGCCCCCCCCCCTCCCGGGGGTGGGGGGGGCGCCCCAGGAGGTTCCTGCTGGCCCCTGGGTCAGGGCCCTGCCCCCTGGGAGGCCGCCCTCTGTTCCTGCCCGTTACCCTCCTTCCTCTTGGGAAGGTCACTTCCTGGGCTGTGATGCCCATCAGAGAGAACGTGGAGACCTACCCGGAGCCCAGCCACCTGCCGAAGCCAGTCCGTGCTCCGTGGATTGCCTTCCCGGGCTTTTTTCCGAGCGTCTTTATTTTTCATGCAGTTTTTATTTTATTTTTTAAAAAAATATTTTATTGATTTTTTACAGAGCGGAAGGGAGAGGGATCGAGAGTTAGAAACATCAATGAGAGAGAAACATCGATCAGCCGCCTCTTGCACACGCCCCACTGGGGATGTGCCTGCAACCCAGGTACATGCCCTTGACCGGAATCGAACCCAGGACCCTTTGGTCCGCAGGCCAACACTATCCGCTGAGCCAAAGCGGCCAGGGCTCGAAAACATGACTTTAAGTATCTCCTGTGGCTGCCCCCGTTTTATTGACCATGTCCCTGCTTTCGCTCCTTCACTTCATCGTTTGCTATTAGAAACTCTCTTTCGCATGCGTTTGTCAAGCCCCTTACACCTGCCAAGCTCCGAGGGCACAGACAACGCAGCCTGTGCCGGGCCCTGGGAGACGCGGTGGGGGCACAGGCGGGCAGCGGTTTCTCCGCTGAGCCGGGATCTGTTTCACCAAACGGGCACCCTGTGGGGCAGGCTGTCCAGCCCGGCCAGGCCCAGCCCCGGCCAGGCAGAGCCGCTGGGCTTGCTGGTCACTTCCCAGCGCTCACCACCTGGGGCCCTGCCCTCCCGGGCTGTGACAGGCCCGCCCGCAGGGCCCCAGGGTGCCATGGAGCCCGGGCATGACCACCAGTGATCTCAGAGCCAAGCGGGGACGGGTTTCAGGCTTTCAGCCTCACCTGCCAGGGGTCCCTCTCGGCTCAGCAGAAGCTCCTATTGGTCAGAGGCTGTTGGAGGCCCTAGACCAGCCCGGTTTACCCCTGCCATTGCGTGGGCCCGGAGTGTGGCTTGGAGGCTGTGGCCACCGTGCGGCAGGGACCGGGGACCGGGACCCCATCAGCCGGCCCAGACCTCACTCACTGGCCAGGCAGGCCCTGGACCGGGAAGCAGGGCCTTCGCCAGCCCACCTGCCACAGGGACGCGTGGTTTTCATGGGACTTTGCCGTGCTCTCACCGGGAGAAGTCACGGGTCCTGGTGCTCTGATGGAAGATGAGAGAGGGAGCGCTTGAACACGCTGGCCATGAAAGAGGCACTTTCCACAGGGGCTGGTTCTTGATCGAAAGTCCCCAGCGACTCGGGACACGCCTGCTGGGTTGAGGGGTGGAGGCGGTTTTTGCTTTGTGTCCGCGCTGTCCCTCTTGCTGGCGGCTCCCACCGGGGCGGGGATTGGGGTTCCTGCCTCAGCGCGGCCTTGTGAGTGTGACCGCGGGGGCCAGGCAGGTGCCTGGAAATTCCATTTGTGCGTCTCTTCCTGCAGGGAGAAGACAGTCTGTCGGCGATTACCTTCGACTCCGACTTTGAGACGGTGAGTGGGATCGGGAGGCCCGCGGGGCCCGTGCTGGTGACTTCCCTTCTGCCCCTCAGCGTGCAGCGGGCACTCCCTGCACGGCTGCGTGCGGACCTGGAGCCCGGATCCCCGATGCCTCTGAGAGCGACAGGCCTTTAGCTGAGTAGCTGTGACTGTCGGTGCCAAGCTTGTGTTCAGAAGCTGGTCCTGAGCAGTGGGCAGGTTCCCATCCTGCATCTGGCGTTGGCCCCGCCCCCAGCCCCCAGTTCTGACCGGTGAGGGGAGGGAGCAGGGCTCAGGGTGCGGTCAGGGCAGCTGTGGGAGAAAGGGTGCTGTGAGCTGCACGCGGGGTCCTGGCCAGTCCCAGCCCGAGGAGCGGAGGCAGCAGGTCGGACAGGTCTGGTCCGGGCACCTGTGGACCCTCGGCCCCCGGGTTGTTTGGAGAATGGAGCCGGCTCCCAGCTGGGCATTCCAGCCAGCCCGCTGCCCCCGTGGCAGCAGACCCCACACCGCACTCCCCTAGTTCTGCGGCCATTGTCTGGGGGGAGGGCCATTGCAGGGTGAAGAACTGTCCCCCAGCCCTGCTGAGGGACGGGCCAGCAATCTCGGCTGAAGTCCAACGGCCTGGGACAGACCTGGTGCCTCGAGGCCAAGTGAGGGGTCCCTGCCGGGGAGCCTGAGGCCACAGGGCCCGAGGCGGGCAGCCCAGGGGCGCGGCTCTGGTCGCCACCCTGCTTGTCCCACCGGCTCTCCAGACACACTCCCTCTTCTCCTGGTCATGAGATCTGCGCTGCCTGAGCCCACCCTGGGGACAGTCACACCGCCATCCAGGCCTGAGGACAGTTAGCGGGGCAGGTCCACCACTTGTGCAGCGTTTCCAGCTGAACTTAAGGCTCCCACATCCCCCGTGTCTGTGATGTGACTGGAGCCACCACACCTTGGGGACCCTCCTCAGCTGCAGCCCATGTGGGCCCCGGGTTTGGTGGCACCCCCTGAACCACGTGGGCCCTATGTTCGGTGGCACCCCCTGAGCCACGGGGGCCCTGGGTTTGGTGGCACCCCCTGAGCCTGTGGGCCTTGCTCTGCTCGGCCTGCAAGTCGGTCTCCCGGTCGCTGTCCTCACATCCCTCCCTGAGCAGCCAGGGTTTGGCCAGGCGTGGGACTCACCTGCTGCCCCCGGCTCTCCTTTCTTCCAGAAAACAAAGAGGAAAAGTGGCCACAAACCTCCACCCACATCGCCCAGTAAGTACAGCCGGGCGCCTGGCCCCCAGTTACTTGGGGAAGTGGCTGCTGGGGGAGCGGGGGGCGTCCTGGGTCCTGGGAGGGAGACCCAGAGTTGTGCCCACGGAGGGTCGTTGAGCCACGGAGGGAGGCCCCCCCCAGCAGCTCCTGAGAGCACTCCTGGGCCCCCGGCTGGATTTCTCCTTGCTCGACGCTCAGCAACCCGGGAGGAGCGCCTGGCGGAGGCCGGTGCCGCCCTGACCCTGCGCTGGCTTCTAGAGTCGCCGTATTACTGCAAGCCGAGGACCGCGGCCAGCGGGCGGCCACTGAGGACGGCGGCCAGCATGCCCCTGGGAAGCAGGACGCCTCTGACGCCGCAGAGGCTGTGGCTGGGAAGTGCCAAGCAAGGTCCGTGCTCCCCAACAGTGACCTGCGGCTCACGAGGGGGTGCAGGCGTGGCGGGATGTGAGAGGGTTTTAACCACACCAGGCCTGAGGCCCTAAACCTAACTGTCCCCTATACCTGGGCTCCTGAGCATTAAAGAGAAAAAACCAACATGATATAGAAAAATGTTAGTTACATGCAAACACGTGGTTAGGATAAGATGGAACTTGGAGACATGGTAGAAAATAGGTCTAGGCAGAGTCCCGGAAATTAGCGGGACAGCGGCAGATTCGGAAATTACCGAAAACCGGTACAGCGGTCTGCTAGGGTTCATGTGACTTGTCTGGAAAATTCTCACGGTTCTTGAGACGTGGAGCCTCCTGCCTTTTACGAAACACAGAGCTGGTCTGGGCCGGTCTCCGTGGTGACGCTGTCCGGGTCTCGTGCTGTCGGTGCTGCGTGGAGGCACCTCCGGCCCTGCGCGCTGTCGGGGTCGGAGTCCGTGAGCTGTGGGCAGCGCACTGACGGGCAGCTGGACGGGGCTGTGGGCACACGATGCCATGGGAGCGGCAGCAGCTGCATGGCAGGCGGCTCTCCTCCTCTCTGAGGGCCGGCTGCTGGCACCTGCTCCTCGGCCCCTGGTCCGGGC